CCTCTTTTGGACTTCTGGGGCGCCTCGCAGGGCCTCTTGGGGAGCCCCCTGGGGACCACTTGGAGCCTCTTCGGCGACCTGTTGGAGCTCTGGGGGGCATCTAAAGCCTTCTTTGAGCCTGTTTGGATCCTTTCTTGTGACGTCTTGGGGCCCTCTTGGGCCGTATTGGGCGCCCCTTGGGCCGTCTTGGGGCCCTCATGCGCCGTCTCGGGGTCCTCTTGGAGGCCTCTTGGGCCGTCTTGTGGCGGTTTGCGGAGCCTCCTGGGCCGACTTTGAGCATCGGACAGCGGAAAAAGCGAGAAGGCTGAAACCATACGTTTTACGAAGGGAATGGGACCATTTTTGAGTCTGGGGGCTCTCTTGGGGCGCATCTGGGAGGCCTCTTGGGCCGTTTTGGAGGTCTCTTTGCCTGTCTTGGAGTCATCTTGGTCGTCTTGGACCGCTCGTTTGGCTACTCAAGGCCTTCTTGGACCGTCTCGGAGACCCCTTGGTGCGCTCTTGGCCCGTTTTTGGGCCCTCTGCTCCCCCTTGACGCGTTCGGCGGGGGGTCGTAGTCGGCGAGGGGGGGGGGGTCAAATCTCTGGTTTCGGGTCCCTGGGGGAGGGTTATGGGGGGTGGTGGGGGAACTATCTCACACGCCTAAAGACCCACAAGGGGTCGGCGGATTCCAATCGCCGAGCACCAAGAGCGCCCGTGGGTGATCTGGGGCCCCGCTCGCACTTGTGAGTGAGGTGGGTGGGTTGGGGAGGGCGCAGCACGCCAGGACGCGGCTACTGGATGGCTTCGGTGCTGTCTGGATGCTTGCACGAGAGGCGATGCTTCAGATGGTACCCTCTGTTTGAGGCCTGTGGCATGTCTTGGGGTCGCAGTGCAGCCATATCTGGCCCCGCGCACTCCCCTGAGACGCCCGTGAAGTCTTACTGCGATGGCAGGGCTCGAGCTAAACGGTGTTTTGGCGATTTCGTGGGCCGCTTTCGTACTGTATTCGTTTTGCAGCGAAGGCGGAACGAAAACACAACCAAGGAAATCGAAACCAAAACGAAAACGAAAAGCACTGCGTAACTCGAGCCCTGTGCGATGGCCCCGCGCAGGGGCTGGGGGTATGACCCTTGAGGCTTGCAGTGGCAGCGCAGCGGCTAGAGTCGCGGGTTGGCCTCTGAGCCGCAGGGCTGTGCGCCTCGCGGAGCAGCAGCGGGCAAGGGGCCAGCATCGGCATCACGAGAGGCAGCGGGGCCCACAGGGGAAAAGGAGGGGATAGAGAGAGAGAGAGAGAGATAGAGACATAGTGAACGATAGAGAGAGAGAGAGGGATAAACATAAAGTGAGGGAGAGAGAGAGAGAGAGAGAGAAAGAGAGAGAGAGAGAGAGAGAGAGAGAGAAAAAGAGAGAGAGAGAGAGAGTGAGTGAGAGAGAGAGAGAGAGAGAGAGAGAGAAAGGGATGTACGTATGTGTGTATATATATATATGTATATATGTATACATATGTATATATATACACAAAGAGAGAGAAATATAGAGAGAGAGTGTGTGAGAGAGAGAGGGAAAGAGAGATAGTGAGAGAGAGAGAGAGACAGATAACAAGAACAATGAGAGAGAGAGAGAGAGAGAAAGAGAGAGAGAGAGAGAGAGAAAGAGAGAGAGAAGGAGCCAGAGAAAGAGAGAGAGAGAGAGAAAGACACCAACAAAAAGAAGCGCACATCCGCGGCGGAGGCTGGATGAGCCTGGCTCTCCGAGCGGCCGCGCCGCGACGGCGTCCCTGGCGCCCGCGCTGACCACGCCGCTGGAGACCCCACCGCCCCGCCCGCGGGCCGGCAGCGAGACCTCCCCCCCCACCCCCCTGCGCTCCTGCTCCTCCTCCTTCTCCTCCTCCTCCTCCTTTCTCCTCCTCCTTTCTCCTCCTCCTTTCTCCTCCTCCTTTCTCCTCCTCCTCCTGCCCCTCCTCCTCCTCCTCCTCCTCCTGCCCCTCCTCGACGCGGCGGCGACGCCGGCGCGAGCGCTCACGGCTGAACAGCTCTCGGGGAGATCCCTTTTCGGGCCCCTGGGCCCACTGAGCGCCGCCGCGGCGCGAAGAGCCCGTGCGGAGGAGGGCGTCGCGACCGCTCCTCGGGAGCCCCTGGGCGAGAGCGGGGGCCTTGGCAGGCCAGCCACAACTGGGGGCGCTGTGGTCCTTAAACCCCCCTGGGGGGCCCATCGATTTCGACGCCCCTCTCGAGAGATCGTCGATGCGACGGGTTCCCCCAGGGGGGTAAGGACCACAGCTCCCCCAGTTATGGCTGGTCGGCGTTGAAGGTCGGCTTCACGCGGTGTCGGGAACCGGGGCGGACGTGGTGACGCCAGGAAACTGCAATGGGTCAAGTCAGATTCCAATCCATCGGGATCGACCAGGCGTCTCGATACGCGTCGTCGTCGGCGTCACCAGTCTCGTCATGGCCATCGCCGTTATCGGTGTCATTGCCATCACGACTCGCACTGTTAGTTTTACCGTCACTGTCATTACGAATGTTACCGTCAAGGTTAGATCCACCAGGACAGCGGGCACTGAGGACAAGGTGACTGGGGATAAGATGACAAGAGTGAGAGATCTGTAGGCCATTCGCGCCCAGAGGGCTGGCGACACTAGATGCTTCTTTTTAAACTGGGGGTCTCGTCGGGGCGTCTTGTTGCCTCGGGCCTCTTGATATCCTCTCGGCGCTTCTCGAGCCTGGTGGAGCCGTCTTGAAAGGTATCTGGGACCGTTTGGGATGTTTTTGAGCCATCTTACTGGTCCTCCTTGTCCTCTTTATGTCGTCTTCCTTCCTGCACATCTGCTAGACTCTATGGCTGAATGTTGTTTCCTAGTGAGGTTGATTGGATCCGATGCCCGTTCTTTTGCCGCGCGCGCTGAAGGAGTGATTGTGTGTGACTCTGTATGCGGCGAGCACATAGGTATTCGGATGCACGGTTTTAGAACGACGAGGCACAAGCTCTACAGCTTTGTACGAATACATGAAAGGAAACGTCAGCCGCCTTGGTGACCAGGGAGAAGGGGAGGCAGGTTGAACCCAGAAATTCCCCCGACACCCGAAAACAGGCAGGGCCAAACCCAGAATCCCGACAGGGGCGAAACCGACAAATCAGGAGTCCCAACCCTGAAATTCAGAAGAGGTGCGATCCGACAAGCTGGGAGAGGTCCTAGCCAGAAAAGCTCAGGAGGGGACCTCGAAGGCGGCAGGAGGAGGTAGGACGAGTGGGATTTGGCAGGAGATAGTGGCAGGGACGAGGAGGTGGGACGAGCCAGGGTGCAGCTGGAGGAGGCTGGTGGACGTAGGAGGAGATACGGTAATGTTGGCACGCGCGGGGGAGACTGCGGTCGAAGTGCAACGCATCAGACCCACTGCCAACTTTGAACATTGGGGGGAGGGGGAGGCGTTGACCGATGAATGTGGCATGCGTGTTCGCAGTTTTTTCCGAGGCCTGTAGGCCAAGGCAGGCGGAGGTAGGAGACCTACGAGGGCAACGGAGATGGTAGTAGGGCGGTGAAAAGTTCACACGTGGATTTTTTAGGCTTATCGGGTTCTGGACAGCGCGTCGGCGAGGGGTGCTCTCCAGCGGGTACCTCAGCGTGGCCCGTTTGTGGTTCCTGCAGTTTTGGCGGTTGTTTTGTTGTCCTCTTCGGTGTTTGTCGGCCCGTCGTTGCCCTGTTGCGAGTGGAGTGGCGTTGTATCCGCCCCGTGGCGTTGCCACGTGGCGAATCTAGTCGAAAACGTGTGTTTCGCCTCCCATGCGTTGCCACGTGGCGAGTAGAGTGAGGTGTATCTGTTCAGTCCGCGCGGCATTGCCGCGTGATGAATTTCGTGGAGGTATACTTCTTGTTCGCTTTCGTGTCATTGCCACGTGGCGAGTGGAGTGGGATAGGATTTTTCGTTTGCCTCTCAGGCCTTGCCAGGTGGCGTTGCCGTGTTTCGAGTAGAGTGGAGCAGCATGTGTTCTGGGCCCGCTTCGTTGCCACGTGCCGACTCGAGTGAACTCATGTTCGTTTCGGCGAGCATGCGCTTCCACGCTGCGAGTGCAGCGAAGCAGCATCTGTTCCCCCTCCGCGCGCTGCCACGTGGCAGGGCGAGTGGAGCAGCATTTGGCTCGCTGCCTGGGCGCTGCCATGCGGCGCCCGCGAGCGGGCACGCGCGTGCTCGGGCGGGCGGGCGGGCGCGCGCGCGCGGGCGCGGCGGGCGGGCGGGCGTGCGTGCGGGCGGGCGGGCGGGCGGGTGGGCGGGCGGCGGGCGCGCGCCCCAGCGGGCGGGCTGGCGCGCGGGCGTTCGTTCCGCACTCGCTGCCACGTGGCGAGTACAGTGAGGTAGTATTCGTTTCCCCCCGAGCGTTCTCGCACTGCGAGGAGATCGGAGCAGTATTTGTTCGCTCTCCCGGCGTTGTCACGCGGCGAGTAGAGTGAAGCAATCTTTGTTTCGCCCCGCAGGCAATGCCACGCGGCCAGTCGTGGCATGGAGTAGTTTTGGTTTTGCTTGCTATTCGCTTCTACCTAACAGTTCGAGTGGAATTACACAGCTTTCCGTCCCGCAGGCGTTGCCACGTCGCGGGGAGAGTGGCGTAGCATATATTTTGTCTCCAGGTGCTTGCCACGTGGCGAGTAAAGTGGAACGTTTTGAATTGTTTACGCTTCGCGAATCCCCGCCAGCCCATTTAGAAGCCCTGCCCACGAGGGCTGATGGGAAATAGAAAGCAGCGACGCATATAGTAAAACAGAGCGGTCAAAGAGAGGAGGGGGAGGAACGTGTTGAGCCATGTTTGATACTATCTTGAGCATCGGAGGCCTTCTTGGAGCGATGGTTGGGTCTTGGGGTCCTCTTGAGGCTCTTTTGGGGCATCTTGGGGCCCTCTTGGGGCTCTTTGGGGTGTCTTGGGGTTCTCTTGGGGCTCTTTTGGAGCGCCTTGGGGCCCTCTTTGGGCCCCTCTTGAGGCTCTCCGTGGGTTCTCTTGGGGTCCTCTTGGGAGCTATGGAGCGCTTCCTGGGGCCATGCTGGAGGCCATCAATCAAAGGAGGGTGGGTTCTCGATGTGCGTCCCCCTCAGGGGCCCCCAACATCGCCTCTTGGGGCCCTCTGTGGGCGCTCTTGGGGCGATCGTGGACGCTCTTGGGGCCGTCTTGGGGGCCTCTTGAGCCTCTCTTGGAGCTCTCTTGGGCCATCTTGGGGCCATCTGCAGGTTTCTAAAACACACCGGAAGCGAAAAGGCGAGAAGGGGCAACTCATTGATTTTTCTCATGTTGAAGGATTTTGGCTTTCGGGGGGTCCCGAGAGAGCTCCGAGAGCACCTGGAACCGTCTTGTGGCCCTCTTGGTGTCTCTAGGAGGCATGCTGGACGTCATCTTAAGCGCCTTGCGTTATCTTGAGCCATTTTGGAGGCCATCTTGGAGCATCAGAGGCCCTCTTGGAGTTACCTTGAGCGAAACATGTTCATCTAATGACTCGCGGCCCGGCCCGTACAGGTCGAGGTCCGGGGGAGGGGGTAGGGCGAGGGGTAAACCCCTCCCCGAAAGGGAACAGCAAAGAACGATATCGTTAGACCGCCTGCGCCTAGTGGGCTGGCGGGATTTCCGCCCCGCACGCGTTGCCGCGTGCCGAGTAGAGGGACGAGGGAGGAGGCGTGAGGAGCGAGGAGGGAGGAGGACGAGGAGGAGGAGGAGGACGAGGAGGACCAGAGGACACCCAAGAGTCATCAACGACGTTCGAATTCACCCTCCCACCAAGCTCCCTCCCGACCTATCGCCCTTCTGCCCACCATGTACAAACTGTAATTCCGCGTGCTGTTGGCTCTCGCCGGGACCACCGTTGAACGCCTCGACGCTCCGCAGTTCGCTTTCAGAAAGCACCATCAGGCGCACGAAGTTGTGTACACTCTCAGGAGTCTGGTGGAGAAGGCCATTGAATGGGACCATCATTTGTTCGTGTTGGACGGGGACCTGTTGTAGGCGTACGACTACACGCGCCACTCGGCAGTTCTGGCCGGTTTGGACGCGAAATCGGTGCCGAAGATCTTGTCCGCAGCTTGGCTCCGCGAGTTGGGGAAATGCGGGTCCGTGTTCAGTCTAAGCGAAGACATCTTTTCAAAGCCAATCAAAATGAAGGATCCGTTCGCTGCTTCAGGGAGACCCATCAGCCCCTTTCCTCTTCAACGTTGCTCTGGACATCCCGGCCACAAAGTTTTGCAGACTGGCTGACAGCAGGGGCTGGGGGTACCATTTGGACGGCGGGTTTCGTGTGTCATTGATCTTGTTTGCAGATAACTTCTGGCTATTCGCATCGAGCCGCAAGCAGTTGGAAGATATGACGCAAGCATGGTTGGACATCCTTGCCGAGGCAGGCTGGGCTGTGCCGCTGGATGAAATCACTTGGTGTTCGACGCAGGATGACAATGCACCTGGCCAGGTGAACGTGCAAGGTACGAGATTGCGGCGGGCTGCGCGGAACGATGGTTTCAAAGTGCTCGGAACCATCGTCACCTTTGACAACTCTGATGAAGTGGAATTACAGAGCAGAGTCTCCAAGGCATGGAGGGCCTTCTACAAGTACAAACATTTACTCTGCTGCCGTGGGGCGCCTATCCGGGCGCGCTTGAAGCTCTTGCGTTCTCTCGTGTCTACGTCGCTCTTCTGGTGCAGTGAGACCTCGACACTGCGGGGGCTACAGGAAACGATGCTCAGGATGATGATGCCGCTCCGGAAGCGTCTGGCGGAGTCGGCCGAAGTGCTCATGCAGCGAATCGGGCAGAACATAAAGCGAGTGAAGGAAGACTATGCATTCCGGGACTGGGGCGAAGTCTACTTCGAGCACGTTTTCACATGGGCCAGTCACGTTGCAGGCCTGGGCGACTACGACAGCGACCGGGTGACGCACAGGGTTCTGGAGTACAGAAACTACAACTGGATTTGGGACAGGGCCCGGCAAAACAAGGGCAACCATATGCATGGACGCAAGGTCCGCGTCTGGAGGTGGGAGCACCGCGTGGACAAGCTCTTCAACCGTGGCGACTGGCAGGCCACAGCTCGCAGCAAGGCGGCCTGGCGGACACACCTTGAGAAGTTTCTCTCGCTCTGAGGGTAGTGCACACCGATCTTTTCTCACTCTGAAGGTAATCGCGCCGTAGCGTGTCTGCCGCGTGGCGTTGCTTTTGGAGCAGACACACGCTAAGCCTAAGCCTGAGCCCCATACAACGGTTCATTTCCGTTGAGGGATTTGCCTCGTTGGAAGACAGCATTTTGAATATCCTGAAGCGTGCCAAAACATTGGTCCCGGGATTTCATCGCCACGTATCAACCTGACTGCTGCGTCTTGACGATCCAGAATCGTGCCAGAAAGCCGTTTTTGGGACTTCAGCACAGCGAATCAACATAACCGTTCAGCCCGCAAATCCAGAATCCCTCCAAAACACCATTTCTGTTACGTCGATCATGGGATTCCGTGAAACTCTTGCACCTTTTTAGAGCGAATGTGCGCGGCGCTTAGGCGAGAACCGCTTTTTGAAATGGAACCGCTTTTAACCCGTGACACTTCTGCAAATGTTAGAAAGGAGGCGACGCCACATTTTGCAAACGACCCTCCCTCACTCCGTGAAGCCCTTGCATTTTTTCAACGAATGTGCGCGGCGCTAAGGCGAGAGTCACATTTTGAAAACCCCCCGCCCTCAATCCGTGAAGCCCTTGCAATGTTTCCAACGAATGTGCGCGGCGCTAAGGCGAGAGTCACATTTTGAAAACGACCCGCCCTCAACCCGTGAAGCTCTTGCAACATTTTAAAACGAATGTGCACGGCGCTGAGGCGAGAGCCGCATTTTGAAAACGACCCGCCCTTCATCTGTGAATCTGTTGTCACTTGTAAGGAGAAGGAAGTCTGAGGCGAAACGCCCGGCCCGCCCTAAAAACTGGCCTCGGGGTGCGACAGGGAAGGGTTATCCAGAAGGAGAAATAATGGAGGGAAAGGAGGAGGAGGAGAGGAGGAGGAGGAGGAGGAGGAGGAGGAGGAGGAGGAGGAGGAGGAGGAGGAGGAGGAGGAGGAGGAGGATGAGGAGGAGGAGGAGGAGGAGGAGGAGGAGGAGGAGGAGGAGGAGGAGGAGGAGGAGGAGGAGGAGGAGGAGGAGGAGGAGGAGGAGGAGGAGGAGGAGGAGGAGGAGGAGGTGGAGGAGGAGGAGGAGGAGGGAGTGAGGGAAGGAGGGAGGCAGGGAGGAGGAGGAGGAAGAGGAATAATAATAATACGAATCATGATAATAATAACGAGAGTAATACGAATACTAGGACTAATAGCAAGACGAAGGCGAACAACAAGTATAATAAGAACCGCACCACGCATGATGATACTCATACGAATAAAATAATATTAAGACAAACCATACTAGTACGAATACTAATGCGAATACTAATACGAATAGTAAGAATCATGAAATTCAGAAGACTACGGATAGTAATAAAACAAAGACCAACACTACTACGAATACATATATTCATAATAGTGCGAGCATTGAGACGAATAGTAACACGAAGGCGACGGTGAATACTAATAATGATAATATTAATAATAACAGTGATGATGATGATGATGATGATGATGATGCTGTTAGTGACAATATTAATGATAAAAACGATTCGAAATACTACTAAACATAACACTAATACACATACGAATAAAAATAAGGATACTACGAATACGCATTAAAAACCATAATAGTTCTAATAATGTGCAACGAATACTGGCGATACTAACCAGAAGATCAATAAAATATTAAGATGACTGCCAGGATTACCACTAGTAATACTACGAATAATGTTACATATAAGCATACGATAAGAATCTTAGTAACAATGACAAGGCTAATACGGTTAGTAATACTAACCATAAGGCGAATGTTAATAACAACGCGATTATTGTTAATAACAATAATACTACGACTAAGAGTATGAATAACTACTTATATGAAGAAAAATAACAATATCAGTAATCTTGATGAAAAGAAGAGCAGGAGGAGGATGAGGATGAGGATGAGGAGGATGAGGATGAGGAGGAGGAGGAGGAGGAGGAGGAGGGAGGAGGGAGGGAGGGATGAGGCAGAACGCAGGGGGGGGGGACTAGCGATACGAGGCAGGATGCAGGAGGAGCGGAAAGGAGGGAGACGGGAGGAGGATGAGAGGAGGGTATGAGGCGTGGGATGACAAGCGATATCGAAAAGGAGGAGGAGGATGTGGATGAGGAGGTTGAAGACGAGGAGGAGGAGGATGATGAGGAGGAGGAGGGGAAGGGGTAGGGGGAGGTGGGAGGAGGGGGAGGTGGGAGGATCGGAAGGAGGACGAGGACGCGCACCTAATCGCTGGGGCTCGGTTTGGTGGTCGCCTCGGGGGAGCGAGAGAGGAAGGAGGGTGACGGGAGGGGAAGGGCGCGGGCGGGCGGGCGGGCGACCAGGCGGGCGGGCGAGCGTGGGGGCGGGTGGGTGGGCACGCGGGCGGGGCGGGCGTGCGGGCGTGCGGGCGGGCGTGCGCGGGGGGCAAGAGGGCGGGCGGGTGTGCACGGGCGGGCGTGCGGGCGGTCGCGCGCTTCGGCGTGCGGGCGTGCGGGCGGGCGCGCGCGGGCCTGCGGGCGGGCGGGCGGGCGGGCGGGCGGGCCGGCGGCGGTCGTCGTCGTCGGCGTCAGTGTCGTCGTCATGGTCGTCGTCGTTGGCGTCGTCGTTGTCGTTGTTGTCGGCGGCGGCATCGTCGTCGTCGTCGTCTTGGTCGTCCTTGTCGTCGTCGTCGTCGTCGTCGTCGTTCTTGTCATCGTCGTCCGTCGTCGTCATCGTCGTCCGTCGTCCGTCGTCCGTCGTTGTCGTCGTTGCCGTCGTCGCCGCCGCCGCCACCGCCGCCGGCGTCGTCGTCGTCGTCGTCGCTCGTGTGGTCATCGTGGTCGTCGTCATCATCGTCGTCGTCTTCGTCCGCGGTGGAGCCACGTGCCCAGAAGATTTTTGCCCGGCGTTGCCACGTCGAATGCAATAGAGCAGTTCTTTTTCGTTTTGCGGTTTTTCCACGTGGCCCGCAAAGTTGTATTGTATTTCCCTACCTAGGCTCTACCTAGAAGGGTTCTTACTCTCTTTGCTTAAAGGGCCGGGCAGTGCTAACCGCCCCGGGCGGTTCCCCCAGTCCCCGCCCCGCGGTGGTTCCCCCAGTCCCCTGGGAGCTTTAGCCTTAGCTTTAGCTTTAGCTTTAGCTTAGCTTTAGCTTTAGCTTTAGCTTTAGCTTTAGCTTAGCTTTAGCTTAGCTTTAGCTTAGCTTAAGCTTAGTGTTAGCTTAGCTTTAGCTTAGCTTCAGCTTAGCTTCAGCTTAGCTTTAGCTTAGCTTTAGCTTAGCTTTAGCTTAGCTTCAGCTTAGCTTTAGCTTAGCTTCAGCTTAGCTTTAGCTGAGCTTTAGCTTAGTGTTAGCTTAGCCTTAGCTTAGCTTTAGCTTAGCTTTAGCTTAACTTTAACTTAGCTTTAGCTTAGCTTTAGCTTAGCTTTAGCTTAGCTTTAGCTTAGCTTCAGCTTAGTGTTAGCTTTGCTTTAGCTTAGCTTTAGCTTAGCTTTAGCTTAACTTTAGCTTAGCTTCAGCTTAGTGCTAGCTTAGCTTTAGCTTAGCTTTAGCTTAGATTTAGCTTAGCTTTAGCTTTAGCTTAGCCTTAGCTTAGCTTCAGCTTAGCTTTAGCTTAGCTTTAGCTTATCTTTAGCTTTAGCTTTAGCTTAGCTTTAGCTTAGCTTTAGGTTAGCTTTAGCTTAGCTTTAGCTTTTCTTCAGCTTAGCTTTAGCTTAGCTTTAGCTTAGTGTTAGCTTAGCCTTAGCTTAGCTTTAGCTTAGCTTAAGCTTAGCTTTAGCTTTAGCTTAGCTTTAGCTTAGCTTTAGCTTAGCTTTAGCTCAGCTTTAGCTTAGCTTTAGCTTATCTTTACTGTTAATACTAATTCTGCTTTCCTAGGGGCTCCAACTCCTAGGTAGGGTCGCACTGGGATACTTAGTTCGCCAGCCTGTCTTTGCCCTGTCTGGATTGAAGAGGCGGTGTATTTATTCCCGCCCCGCGGCGTTGCCACGTGGCGAATATAATCGAATCTTTGTTTTCGCCTCGCAGGCGTTGCCACGTGGCGAATAGAGTGGGATTGTATATGTTCGGCTCGCGCGGCACTGCCATGTGATGAGTTGAATGGATTAAACTTCCTGTTCGTTGCCCAAGTCAATGCCACGTTGCGAGTGGAGTGGAGTTTTTGTCTGCCTCTCAAGCCTTGCCAGGTGGCGCTGCCATGCTTCGAGTAGAATGGAGTAGCATGTGTTTCTGGCCCGCTTCGTTGCCATGTGCCCAGATGCTGCCACGTGGCGAGTACAGTGGAGTAGCATTCTTTCCCACCTCCGCGCCTTGCCACCTGGCGTTGCCATGTAGCGAGTAGAGAGGAGTAGCATTTGTTGCCGCCCCGCTTCTTTGCCACGTGCCGAGTAGAGTGGAGTAATTATGTTTCGTTCCGCAGGTGCTGCCACGTGGTGAGTGCAGTGGAGTGGCAGGTGTTCCCCCCTCTGAGCGTTGCCACGTGGCAAGGCGATTGGAGCAGTATTTGTTTCGCTCCCCCAGTGTTGCCACTCGGCGCGTAGAGGGGAAAAAATTGCGTTCCCCCTCGCAGGCGTTGCCACGTGGCGAGTCGTGGAGTGGAGTAGTTTGTGTTTCGCTCCCCAGTTGCTTCCACCTGGTAATTCGCGTGGGACAGTATTTTTGTCCGTCCCGCAGGCGTTGCCACGTCGCGAGGAGTGGATTTGCACATGTTTCGCCCCCCAGGCGTTTGCCACGTGGCGAGTACAGTGGAATAGTTTGAATCCGTAAGGGCTTCGCCCCCTGCCGCCGGCCCTGCCCCCTGTCGCGTCGGTGTGTCTCGGCGCTGCCTTGACGCATCTGAGAACATCATGCGGGGGCGGATATCAGTCATCAGCGCATGTTGGGACGACGGCGTTATCGAAGACGCCTACGGCGAACCGCCGCTCCCTGCCCTTTAGAATCGCCCATGTGGTCGAGCGTGGTGGCAAGAGCTCTGCCAAGCTATCGGACCATGTGCTCCCCCAACCGTTGTTGAAACCCTTCGGGGAACACTTGGGGGAGGATGGCGGGGAGGGTCAGGAGGAGGCGGAGGAGGAGGTGGAGGAGGGAGCATCTTGGGAGCCTCTGGGGGCACTCTTGGGGCCTCCTGGGAGCTTCCTGGGAGCCTCTCGGAGGCATCTTGGGGGCCTCCTTGGGCCTCTTGGGGGCCTTTGGGGGCTTCTCGGGGGTCTCTCTGGCCGTCTTGGTCGGCTCCTGGCCCGTCTGACGCCGTCGGAAGCCGTCTTGGGGGCCTCTCTGTGCCGACTTGGGGCTCTCTTGGGGTGCTCCAGGGCCGTCTTGGAGGCCATCTAGGGCGTCTTGGAGGCCTCTTCGGTCGTTTTGGGGCTCTCTTTGGGGCCGTCTCGGGGGCCTCTTGGGCCGTTCTGGTGCCATCCTGGAGGCCTCTTGGGTGATCTTGCGTCGGTGGGCCGACAAGGAGTGAATACGAAAATCCTTCCAAAACCTCAAGGAAGAACAACGATTTTGGCCTCTTCGGGCCTTCCTGGAGGCCCTCTCGGAGGCCTCCTGGGCCGTCTTGGGCCACCTTGGAGCCATCTTGGGCCGTCTTGGTGGGCTCCTTGCCCGTCTGCCGCCGTCGGAAGCCAGGCCACGTGTGACCTCGGCAGCCTCGGCCCACTTGGCACTCTTGCTGTCGCCTTCGTCACCAGCCTCCGTCGGGCACTGCTTCCCCCAGGGCGCTTCTGCCGCCGGCAGCCCGCCTTGCTGGCCCCCTCCCCTCCCAGCCGCTGCCTCGCCGTCGCTGGGCCCGCCCTCCCGGCGCCGCCCCCCGCCGCCGCCTGGCCCCGCTCTGAGCGGGCCCGGCTTCCTTTTCCCTCCCTCCGGCGCTGGGCGCATCCTCCTCCCTCTCTCTGCATGGTGGCCGAGTTCGCGTTCGTTTGTTTTCTAACGCTTCATCGCCAGCGCAGTCACTCTGCCTAGCTGCCGACGCAAAAAAGTGTGTTTTCCCTGGGCACGCGGCGGCGAACTCCTGTCCCCGTGGCGCCACCCGCGTGGCCCTGGACTCCCGTGGCAGAATCAGCATTAGGTGTTCGATCATGGACACCTTGTTGAACGCGACCTTCCAGCTTTCGCGCCGAAGACCGCTGGAAACCGCCAGCGACCGCCAGAAACCGTCGAAGACCGTCAGAAGACCGCCGGAGACCGCCGAAGGCCGCCGGAAACCGTCCGAAGACCGCCGAAGACGGCCCAGGAGATGCGTAGTGCGCCCGCGCCGGCGGGCCAGGCCGTGAGGAAGGCCTTCGTGGCTCCAGTAGCGGCCTCGCCATCAGCGGGCGCGATGCCGAGGCGGCTGCGCCGCGGGCGGCGGGCGGCGGGGCAGAGCGCGCGGGAGGAGGAGTGGGAGGAGGAGGAGGAGGAGGAGGAGGAGGAGGAGGAGGAGGAGGAGGAGAGGAGGGAGGAGGGAGGAGGAGGAGGAGGAGGAGGAGGAGGAGGAGGGAGGAGGAGGAGGAGGAGGAGGAGGAGGAGGACGGAGGAGGAGGAGGGAGGAGGAGGAGGAGGAGGAGAGGAGGAGGAGGAGGAGGAGGAGGAACTTGGGAACTGTGCATGAGCGACAACAGAAGTCGCATCCCCGAAGGGAGCACTTAGGCAAGTAAGTGCGACGGAACTGGACAAGGGCAAGTCGCCTGGCCCACTCGCGGCCGCCTTCCTTGAGGCGGTGTGCCGCTCCGGTGGTGCTGCGTGGAATCGAAATCTTCGCCTCTGGAGACGACACAGGTCCTGATTCAGCGGACGCCGCTGCGCCAACCCTGATCCTGCGGGCTGGCTACGCGGACCCAGGAAGGCAAACATGTGCCACACCTGTATGAAACCATCGTGATGCGAGGGAGTCGAACCCTCCACCACGCAAAACAAAGGCCGCCTGCTTGTCTCCGCCAACTTGGGCCAATTCCCTGACCCGGTGTGCCCTCCGGAGGAGGAGGAGGAGGAGGAGGAGGAGGAGGAGGAGGAGGAGGAGGAGGAGGAGGAGGAGGAGGATAATGGGGGAACGGGAGGAGGAGGAGGAGGATGATGATGATGATGAGGAGGAGGAGGAGGGGGAGGAGGAGGAGGAGGAAGAGGAGGAGGAGGAGGAAGAGCAGGAGGAGGAGGATCAGAACAGGAGGAGGGGGAGGAGGAGGAGCAGGAGGCGGAGGATCAGAACAGGACGGAGAGGAGGAGGAGCAGGAGGAGGAGGGGGAGGAGTAGGAAGAGGTGGAGGAGGAGGAAAACCAGAGTTAACCCAATATGCACCATCGATTCTGCAATACACCCTGCCGTCCTGAACGCCCCGTCTCGTGAGTCCCTACACGCCTTCCCTTCCTGTTCAAGCCCGCCCCTCAGACGAGATTCCCGTTTTGAAAAGGACGGACCTGTTTTGCCCTAGTGCGAGTAATTGCGGGCGAAGGTGTGGTCATACAGTTCAACGAGTTGTTTAGCGATATCCCAGCTTTGAGAACTGACCGCCAACATCAGTGAAGCTCTTGCGCAAGTCTTCGCGTCTGACCAGGGGCGCCAGGAAGTAACAAGCGAAAACCATAGTTTGAAAATGAGCCGCTTCCCCTCCGTGTAGGCACACCGTCTGTTCAACCTTCTGGCCTCTGGCCGATCCTGATCCTCCGAGTATGGGATGGCATTTTAGGGGGAAAGGTCCATTTAAAACGGGAGGTGCGTTCCAGGAAAACCAGATCCTTTAAACATCGCGCCATTTTAGGGGGACCGCCCCCACGTAAAAGTGACGTCGGGATCGAGGAGAAGGAGGATGGCTCGACGATCCTTGGAGGCTTCCTTGAGATCTCTTGGATGCCTTGGAACTGCAGGGAATCTTTTGGGCTCCTCTAGAGGCGTGTTCTCAGTGACCTAAAGACGATCTCGGGACCATCTTGGGGCGGAGAGTTCCACAAACCACTTCGGTTTCTCCTTCGTAGGCTTCCCTTGGGCCTTCTTGGGGGGCCTAGTGGGTCTGTCGTGAGCGCTCGGGGGGGCGTCTTGGAGCGAAGATCCTCATAGCATCGACGCCCAAATACGTGTATCCGCCTCGCTCTCCCTGACCCTGCCCACCTACCATATGTTAGATTTCACAGCAAAAACCGATTCCATTTCATTGGTTCCAGAGTGACAGCGTTAAGTGTCCGCGCGCTGGCATCACTTCTTTTTCCTGCGGGCGGGGGTGGCGGAACCTCGCTGATCGTCAGCAACTGTGCTCTGGGCAAGTTGTGCGCTCTTTTCCTGTTCGCGGAGCGAAAGACGAGGATACGTCGTTGTTGTTGTTAGCCGAGGGGCTTCGCGCGCGCGCGCGCTCCGTAACCCTTTGCCTGACAGCAGCGGCAGCAGCGCACGTGGCCAGAACAGGACACAATCACTGGTGCACTGCGACTGGACAGAGTCTACACAGGGAGATCGGCCTCAGCTCCCATCCATGGGACCCTGGGGATGGGAGGAAGAGGTGGAGGCGACCCCCCCCCTCGAAGCACCCTTCCGGATGCAGCCCAAGGCGCCCGTGCAGCGTGGCCGGCGTTATGCCGCGCTGTCTTGCGGGCGCGGGCCTCCTCGCGGTTGGCCCGAATTCGTTCCAACTGATCCTCCGCGAGAGGGGGAGGAGGAGGACCCGAAGGAGGCGAGGAGAGGGATGGGGGCACCGACGGGGCAGTGAAGCCTTCAGTCTCGGCACACATCATGTCGATGTATGCTTGTTCCTCATTGGCCTAGTGCTTCGTGCTCGGGGTCACGCTCCGACGGATCAGACTGTTGCTCACCCGTGCGCTGCGCTGGCAGCTCATCGGGAGGCGTACCCGAGGGAAGAGCTGAGGGACCTTCGCATCCCTGGGAGGTCCTGTGCCAGCCGTATCTCGCGAGTTCAGGGTCGACGCGACGACACGATCGGCGAGCAAAGTCGGGCGCAGCACTGAATCGGGTATCTGCGTCCTCTGACCAAGGGACATAGAAGGCCATGAGTCCTGCTCGCAACGCCTCGGGATCGGATCCAAAACTGAATTCAGCCTCTTCTTCAGACTGGGGAGGCACAGCGAGGTCGGCGAGACTGTCGAGCACAGCAGAGGCGATAGCCTTGGACAGTCCGCTAGACTAAGTCTCCTTCACTGCCGTCTGAAAAGACCTGTCCGCACGTTTGCCGAGCAGCGTGCGATGGACGCCTCGGTCGTGAGAGCATTTTTACCCCCGCCCGGAGTGTCGAGGAGGTGGAAGCGGAGGGAGGGCCTACAGAGGCCGAGGATGCGAGTGGGGGCACGCCTGACGGTGGACCGGTCCGTCGTGGGCGGGTGGTGTTCGCACTGGTCGAAGCTGCGCACGAGTGCGGAGCCGACACGATGGCCACGAAGAGCTTCCATCGGAATGAGGTCGGAGCTCCAGGGATCCAGCGCGCTGGCACTGGGTGCTCCATCCACCCGCTCGTCAACACGTGAGCGCGAGGAGACGAACGAGAAGGGAGATTCCGGCGGGGCCAGGACCAGGATAAATCGCTGCAGATCCTGGTCCGATGTTGTCCTGGTCCTGGCCTCGTCTTAGAGATGGGGGATTAGCAGGGAGGAGGAAAGATGAGGATGAGGACCCGTCAGAATCTGCAGAACCGCGCGGCGTGCCTCAGGCATCAGCTCCTCTACTCGCCGAAGCATGTCCAGCTGAGCCCGAGCAGCGGCTCCGCTGGGCCCTCCTCCTCCTCCTCTTCCTCGTCCTCCTCCTCCTCCTCCTCGATGTCGTCCGCCTCGGTGTTGTCCTCCTCGATGTCGTTCTTTTTGATGTCGTCCTTCGATGTCCTTCGATGTCGAATCATATTCACGGAATGCGATGACGTTGGCCCAGACGGCCCTGGACCGCGCCCAGGCGCTGCCGAGAGGCGGCAGCTGCGCCTGAGGAGGGCGATCATTGCGGGCCGCGACTCTGGAAATCTTCCTGCTGCTGCTGTTTGTTGGAGCTCCTCCCGCTTCCGCAGCGACCTCGGCTCCTCCCTTTCCCTCCGACCCGAGACGCAGAGCCGCCTTGTCTGGGTTGCTGGGATCGCGCAAGCAGTAAGCGTACACATTGTTGGTGATGCTTGCATGGTTCTTTGTGTGTGTGTGTCTCTCCTCGGATTCATCGTTGGTTCACGTTGCTGGAAGCACTGCCGGGTCGCCAGCTTGTGCAAAAGGCGCCGACAGGCAGGTTCATCCCTTCGAGTGTGCAGGCTGAACCCATTGAGTAAGCACTAGACGATGCGCATGTGGTCGTTGTCTCTGAGGTGTGTAGTGTGAGGAACAGGTGTTGGTTAGTTGATGACGTGCTGGTGTGGCGCAGACCAAGGGCGTCTGCTCTCGTTGGTTCTTGAGCATCAGGAGGCGGATGGCAATGTGCAGGGAGCGACGAGAGGTAGCTGTCGGAGATCGCGGGTGCAGGTGGCGCCAGCATGGCGAGCACAATGGCCCCTCGACGACGCTTTGCCCCCCTCCAGCTGCCTTTGCGGCCGCACAGCTTGCGTCAGAGAGTCTTGCAGCGCGCCTTCTCGCTATCTTTGCCATCAGCGACTGCCGTGACATTCGCGCGATACCTCTTCTCTTTCGTCGTCCTTGGCGACGTCGGTGGCCGATCCAATTTTCACCTCCGCGCTGCTGGACTCCGTTGCTGCCGATCCCCTTCCCTCACACTCCCCCTCTCGCTCTCCTCCCAGTCCCCCTTTCCCGTCCACAGAAGGCATCTACACACCACCACCGTGTCCGGCCAGAGACGTCCTGGGCCCGTGCATGGTGTACACGCCCTCCTGGCCGAGGCCACGAGGGTCTTTACACCATCCTGGGGCCTAGGACGAACTCAGCCAGGCATGGTGGTTGTGTACAGATGTCGTCTGCTCCCCCCTCTCCTCTGTCCTCGCCCTCGCCCTCGCCTCCGCGGCCCTGCCCTCGTACTCGCCCCCTGGCTTTCGTCGCTCCCCTCTCGCCGGATTTGGTCGTGGTGTCGCGTCTCGTGCGGTGACCCGTGTGTGGCGGTTCGATGTCGCAGGCGGACGGCCACCAGCAGTCCTGGCATCAGCCGCAGGTCCCTCAGCACATGTGGGTATGTGTGTACGTTTGAGGCATGTATGTAAGTTTGCGTGTATGTATGTTTGCGTGTATATATATATATATATATGTATGTATGTATGTGTATATATATATAGGCAGGCATGCATCACTGTGTCTACACATTATGGCACATGCACGTATACATGTACAGCACATGCACATCTACACATTCATATGCTGGTGTGTATATATATATGTATGTATATCCAACCCTCCTATGTTGGGTTCTCGTTTTGAATGGAGCACTGTCGTATCCACTCCTGCTCCTTCTCCTTCTCCTCCCCCCTCCTCCTGCCTCCTCCTGCGCTGCTCTCTGGGTGGCTGCGAACCTGCAACTGTCGCCACTTTCGTGGGCTCCTGGGAGGCACGGCGAAATCGCGGAGTAGCCGAGACTCCCAGGGGGGCTGCGAACTGCGCTTTTGTCGTCACTCTCGTGGGCTTCTGGGGGGCACGGCGAGGTCGCGGAGAAGCCGAGGCCTCGCAGCTCCCGGGGGGTCGTTGGCTCCTGGGAGGCATGGCGGAGTCGCGGAGCACGCGGACCCAGGCGCGACCTCGCAGCGCGCAATTGTCGCTACTTTCGTGGGCTCCCGGGAGGCACGGCGGAGTCGCGGAGCGTGCGGGCCCAGGCGGGGCCTCGCAGCTCCCCGCGCACCCGTCGTCGCTTTCGTGTGGGCCTCCTGGGAGGCACGGCGGAGTCGCGGGGGGTCGCGGAGCAGCCGAGACCTCGCAGCTCCTTTGGGGGGCTGCGAACTGCGGCTCCTGGCAGGTCCAGCGGAGTCGGCGGTCACGAGGATCCAGCCGAGGCCTCGCGGCTGCCTGGGAGGCCACGAGGTGCGCAATTGTCGTCGCGTTCGTGGGTTCGGGGGAGGGGTCGGCGGAGGTGAGGGCAGCGCAGTTCGTCAACATTTGGCACGCACATATGTGTGTATATCTGTATACCTACATGCACATGTGCATACGTATATGTATATGTACATGTCTATGCATATGCACATGTATATGCATATCTGTATCTGTGTAGATTTATATATATATGTATATGTGGATGCGTATGCGTACATATATATATGGTTGCATGTGTATGTACTGTACATGTATATATATATATATATTTATATATACATTTACACATAAATGTGCATATACATGACATTTTTATGTACATAAACATGTGTATATATAGATATATGTATATGGCTATGTATGTGTATCAGTATAATGGTATCTATGTGTATATGTACGTGCATGTGTACACGTGTATGTATATGTGTGTGCTTATGCGTATGTACATGTGTACGTAACTGTCTATGTCTATGTCTATGCATATGCGTCTACATATGTACATGTATATGGATGCGTAGGTGGATACGTGTAGGTATACGTATCTGTATATGTGTAGGTTTGTGTGTATGTGTATGTGGTTGTTTATGCGAATACGTAGGTATGTGTACATTTGCAGGCCCAGTATATATACATTTGTGTACGTATGCGAACACGTATATGTAACTGTCTATGCACATGTAAGTGTACATGTGCATGTCTATGTATATGTACATGCATATGTATATACATATGTATGCATGTGTGTGTGTGCGTGTTTGTGTTTGTATATGCATGTGTACATGGGCATGACGATGTATATGTACATGCGTTGGTATATGCATATGATGATGTATAGGTATATGCGTATGCACATGCGCATGTGCTGGTATATGTTGACATGTATATGCATAGGTGTGTGTGTGGTTATGCGTATGCTCATGTGTACGTGTATGTCTTTGTATATATATATGTGTATGGGTATGTGTATGTATAGTTATGTGCACATGGGTATGCATATGTACACGCATATGCATACGTATACGTGTGTGCATCTATGTATGCAGTTGAGTTTACATATGTAGGTTTATACGTTTATGGAGGTGTATGTGTATGTGTAGGTGTATGTGTATGTGTATGTGCACACTATATCTGCGTATGTTTCTATGTATTTGTATAGTCACATGCATGTGCATATGCACACATGTATATTTATGTACTTGCACATGTATATGTACACACATGTGCATTTGCATACGTAGATGTATGTGCACATATGTATGTATATGTGTATGCATAGTTATATGTTTATGTGTTTGTACATGCATGTACATATATACATGTATATCTGTATATGCATGTATGTATATATATAAATGTATGAGTGTGTGTATGTGTATGTGTATATATGTATGCATGAATGTATGTATATACATATAGATGCATGTCTTTGTACATGTGTGTGCGTCCTTGGGCTTTTGGGGGCCTGCTGGCGGTCTCGGGGGTCATCTTGGGGCGGCGGGATCAGAATGTCGGTTCGTGTTCACCCTTTGGGGCTTCTCTCAGGCTCCTGTGGGGGCCCCCTTGGGCCGTTTGGGGGGCCTTTTGGGCTGTTTTCGGGACCTCTTGGGCCGTCCTGGAGACCTCTTAGGGGCTCTCGGGAAAGTCTTGGGGGCCTCCCGGGCCGTCTTGGAGCGTCGGGATCCAGAAACAGCGAGAACGCTGAAATCTGTCTCTTCGGCCAGCCCAGTGCCCTTTTGGACCGTCTTGGGCGCCTCCTGGGGCCCTCTTGGCTAGTTCTGTGTCCCTTGTGACTCCGAGATAGTCTTGCGGGGACACGCGGGAGAACAATAACCGGCCCGCGGGATGCCCCGAGAGATTCAGAAGCTTGAGTGTGGAGAAGATGTTGGAGCTTACTGTTTGAGCCATGTGTGTGTGTGTGTGTTTGAGTGTGTGAGTGTGTGGGTGTGAGTGTCTATGTGTGTGTGTGTGGGTCTGTGTCTGTGTCTGTGTCTGTGTCTGTGTCTGTGTCTGTGTCTGTGTCTGTGTCTGTGTCTGTGTGTGTGTATGTGTGGTTGTGTGTGTGTGCGCGTGCGTGTGTATGTGCGTGTGTGTGTGTGTGTGTGTGAAGTTCTGAGATGCGAGGGGCGTTTTGTGCTCTTGTCTTGCGCGCTAATTATCGAAAACGCCTACGGCGACCCACCGCGCTCCCTTTCTTTTGGAAACGCTTATTTGGCCGAACGTTGGGCCGACGTCTTGCCAAGCTATTGAACTGTGTGCTCCCCCAGCCGTTGTGGAAACTCCTGGGGACAATTCTGGGAGCAAGAGAAAGGAGGAGGAGATGGAGGAGGAGGAGGAGGAGGAGGAGGAGGAGGAGGAGGAGGAGGAGGAGGAGGGGGAGGACGAGGACGAGGACGAGGTCGAGGTCGAGGAGGCCTCCTGGGAGCCTCCCAGGGCCTCTTGGGGCCTACTGGGGGCCCCTTGGTGGCCTCTTGGGAGCCTCTGGGGGCCTCTGCCTCTTGGTCTTTGGAGGCCGTCTTGGGGTGCCCCTCTGGGACGTCGTGGAGCCCTCTGTGGTCGCTTTAGGGTCGTCTAGGAGGTCTGTGGGGCCGTCTCGAGGCCCTCTTGGGGCCATCTTGGGAGTGTGTGTGTGTGTGTGTGTGTGTGTGTGTGTGTGTGTGTGTGTGTGTGTGTGTGTGTGTGTGTGTGTGTGTGTGTGTGTGTGTGTGTGTGTGGTGTGTGTGTGTGTGGTGTGTGTGTGTGTGTGTGTGTGTGTGCGCGTGCGTGCGTGCGTGCGTGCGTGCGTGCGTGCGTGCGTGCGTGCGTGTGTGTGTGTGTGTGTGTGTGTGTGTGTGTGTTTGTGTGTGTGTGTGGGTGTGTTTGTGTGTGGTGTGTGTGTGTGTGCGTGTGGGACGCTGAGTGGCATCGGGAACTTGACAAGAGGAGATAAAGTGCTGAGCTTGCTAAAGCCAAGTGGAAGGGGCCCCCGCCGCAGGGGAAAGGCAAGCGTCCTGCCGACTCCTCCTAGCCCAGCCACGATCCCACTCGTCAGCGCTGGTCAGCCTCGAGCAGCCACCGCTGGTAGCCCTCTGCAGCTGCCACGCCATTGGGACCTGTTCGGAACCTGACCTTCTCGGGATTTGGGTAGTGGCCCAGTTGGCCTACTGCCCTCCTCCCACCTCTCCTTCGTGGTTCTCTTTTCGCCACCCTGCACCTATTCGGTGCCCCCCCCCGCAGACCTCCAGCTTCCGCTCGGGGTCTGCATCTTCACGCATGCACTCCTGGCCCTGCGGCTGCCGGCTCCATGGTGCTCCCCCCGTGAGCTGCGCCGCCTCGCCGACCGTCGTGCTTCTCTTCGGGGGCTCCTTGCTGCCGCACGGGGTGGCTTCTATGTGGCCTCCTTGCCTCCGCTCGGGCGCCGCCCCTCCTGGGGATGGCTGCCCCGCGCCTCGGTGGGCTGGACTTGCCGCCCGCCTTTGGCCCCTGGGCTTCCCCCCTGCTCCAGCCCCCGAGGGTGCTCTGCCCCGCCGCTGCATCCACCCGT